CTTTAAAACATTATGGATTGTTATAGTGTTTCCCTACTTGATTTTTACCTTACTACAATGTTTCTTCATATGTCTTTTTTATTAATTTTTTTTTCAAAATTGTCTTTGTCGAATTTATTTTTTCATATTGAACTGATTGAAAATTTAGTTTTGTATTTTTTTATTTAAAACACTGTTGATTGCTATAATATTTTCTTATACGATTTTTTTTGTTATGATTGTTTTCAAAATTATATTTATTGATTTTATTGTTTTAATATTGTATTAATTGAAAATTACAACATTAGATTTCCTCATGAAACACTATAGATTACTATATTGTTTCCTGTATGGTTTGTTTTTTCCTTTTGTTTTTTTTTGTGATATTTTTTAAAATTATCTTTGTTAATTTTATTTTTTTAATATTGAGTTGGTTGAAAATTATTATTGTATATTTCATCACAAAACATTATAGATTACTACAATATTTTCCTAAATGATTTTAATATTGAGTTGATTGAGAATTTAGCTTTAACTTTCCCCACATGTTTTTTTTTTGGCTTTTTTCCCCTAAAATTGTCTTTTTATTTGTGTTATTTCTTTAAAATTATTTTTATCGATTTTATTTTTTTAATATTGAGCTAGTTGAGAATTTAGCTATAGTTTTTTTAAAAAAAAATATTGTGAATTGCTACAGTGTTTCACCATATGGTTTTTTTTTATGAATTTTTTTATAGAATTATCTTTGTTGATTTTATTTTTTTTTATACTGAATTGGTTAAGAATTTAGCTTCATAGTTTTTTTTAAAACACTGTGGATTGCTATAGTGTTCCCTCATATATTTTTTTATGATTTTTTTTAAAATTATTTTTATTGATTTTATTATTTTTAATATTAAGCTGGTTAAAAATTACAACTTTAGATTTTCTCATGAAACACTATAGATTGCTACAATGTTTCTCTACTTAGTTTTTTTTCCTTTTATTTTTGAAATAATTTTTCTAAAATTATCTTTATTAAATTTTTTAATATTAAATTAATTAAAATTTTAATTTTATATTTAAAAAAAAATATTATGAATTACAATAATTTTTCTTATAAATCCACAACAATACATAAGAACGTTACAAACTCGTGATATTATGCGGGTATAACATCTAGTGTGTGTATAGTGTATGATTGTATTTGTATAAAAATGTTTTTTTAATATATTAAAATAATATTTTATTATTATTTTATAAAATTCATTTTTAATATAAATTCAATTTTAAAAATATATTTTTTAAAACAAATTAACAACATATCATCATCCTTTTTTGTTGGTTAAATCATAATAATCTAAACTTTTTGTAGTGATTTGATATGAAATTTAACTCAGGGGATTGATTTTATATATACCAAAAATTAGTCTAGAAAAACACCCTGATTATTTCATATATAAAAAAAATTCGAACTGCTATTCTCGGTGTCTCTCCACGCATCATCTGGATTGCAAAGATTCAGTCTTTAGCTCGACCCTGCCTTAGAAATTTCACCTGGTAGGCACTCTCTCTCTGTCGCCTCTCCAAGCTCTTACACAACTTAACTTTCTTGCCTCTTTCTCATGACTTGGATTGCTTAATCTTGCGCTGTGTTTGAATTCTAGGGTTTCACAAAAAAAGAGAAGAGATTACTTTTTATGATCTTAGGGTTTCAATCAGCTGTGGGATTAATTTGGGTCTTTTTTTCTTTACTGGGTTAACAAATATTATAGTGGAAATTATAACCCCGTGAAAGAAAATTATGACAAAGCAAAAAACTTGGATTTTTTTTGCATGGTTGCGTTTTTATGATTGAGACAGCTAGGAAGATTTTCTTTTGATAACCAAATGATGTTGTTCTGCTGCTTGCTTTTCACTATTTGATTGGTTAACTTGTTGGATTAACACTTGGAGACTTGTTCAGGTGTTACTAGAAGTCTGTGTAGTGTATTGGGAGGACAATGGCTGATTTAGAAAATTTGCTGCTTGAGGCAGCGGGGAGGACTGGGAAATCAGGAAGAAACAGGAATTCGATACTGCCTTCCAGGAGGCGAAAACGTGAGGGTTCATATTCTGATGGTGGAAGTGATTCTAGAGATGATGATTCTGATGATGATCGCGCTTATGCAAATAGGAAGCCATCAGGGTCTCAAGTGCCTTTGAAGAAGAGATTGGAGACTAACGAGAGGGATGAGGAGGAGGGTAGTCAGGATGAAGGTGATTATGATGGTGGTGGTTCAGATCGTGAGGGTGGAAGTAGTGATGAATCTGATATTGGTGATGATCTTTACAAAGACGAGGATGATAGGAAGAAGCTTGCTCAAATGAGTGAACTTGATAGGGAGTTGATATTGGCAGATCGAGCAGACAAGAAAGGGGATAAGCATTTGACTGAGAAGATTAGATTGAAAAGGGATAATGATAAGCCAACCCGATCTAGAAAAGAGACTCCGCCTCTTCCATCAACTCGCGGAGTGCGTTCATCAGCTAGGTCTGCTGACAGGGCAGCTGCTAAAGATGATGCATTGAATGAATTGAGAGCTAAACGTTTAAAGCAGCAGGATCCTGAGGCTCATCGCAAGTTGCGGGATGTGTCTAGAGGATCCGCTGGCAGCCGGGGTTTTTCACAAGTCAAGAAGAATAATTTCACTTCAGCAAGTCTGAGTAGCTCCAGTAGTGAGAGTGGAAGTAGATCTCACAGTGAGGATGAAGGGTCAACAGGTGATGGTGGAATGGCAGATAGTGATGAGGATGTGGAACCCGGGTCCCAGGGTCCAACTTATGAAGATATAAAAGAAATTACCATTCGGAGAACCAAACTTGCGAAATGGTTTATGGAGCCTTGGTTTGAAGAATTGATTATTGGTTGTTTCGTGAGGGTTGGGATAGGTAGGTCAAGGTCTGGGCCCGTTTACAGGCTCTGCATGGTCCGGAATGTTGATGCTGCTGAACCTGACAAGCCATACAAGCTGGAGAACAAATCAACTTATAAGTATTTGAATGTTACCTGGGGTGCTGACACCTCTGCTGCCAGGTGGCAGATGGCTATGGTTTCAGATTCTGGACCAACTGAGGAAGAGTATAAACAGTGGGTTAGAGAGGTGGAGTGTGGTGGTGGCAGGTTGCCAAGCAAACAGGATATCTTGGAAAAGAAGGAGGCCATAAGAAAATCAAACACTTTTGTGTACTCGGCAGCCACTGTGAAGCAGATGTTGCAGGAGAAAAAATCTGCCTCGTCGAGACCATTAAATGTCGCTGCTGAGAAGGACAGGTTGAGGAGGGAGTTGGAAATTGCGCAGAGCAAGCATGACGAGGCAGAGGTAGAGAGGATCAATGCAAGAATTGAGGAACTGGAGGCATCTCGGCAGGCTAAGGTGAAAGATGCTAAGGCTATTAGGTTGGCAGAAATGAACAGAAAGAACAGAGTTGAGAATTTTAGAAATGCATCCGAAATGAAGCCAGTAAATACAGGTCTAAAAGCCGGGGAAGCTGGGTATGATCCATTTTCAAGGAGATGGACCAGGTCAAGGAACTACTATGTTTCAAAACCTGCTGAAGCAGATGATCCTGATGCAACTAAAATTAGCGAGGCAAATGAGGCAGTGGCAGTTGCAGCTAGTAATCAAGTTGTAGCAGGGGTGATGTCAGAGGCTGGTGTGGCTGCTACAGCAGCTGCCTTGGAAGCGGCAGCTGATGCCGGGAAGTTGGTTGATACCAGTGCTCCTGTGGATCAAGGCACTGAGTCAAATACAATGCACAGCTTTGAGATTGAAATCTCACTTACTGCACTGCAGGAGTTTGGAGGACCTCAGGGCGCTCAGGCAGGGTTCATGGCTAGGAAACAGAGGATTGAAGCAACTGTTGGATGCCGCGTTCCTGAGAATGATGGGAGAAGACACGCACTGACCTTGACGGTTGGTGACTACAAGAGAAGAAGAGGCCTTCTCTGAAATGCAATGGGGCACCAAGCAGTATCTGTTTATTGACCTCCTCGGGTTCCACGGTTTTCAACAAATCTGTCAAGTGTTGGCAAGTAGCTTATTGCTATTAGCTTAATTGTGAGACCAATGATTTGACAAACACACATTTGCTCGCTTTTACTTCAGAATCATTAGTATTAGTGATTGGCCTCGTGTTGTGTACTTTTGATGGCTCTAATGCAAGATTTTCTGAATATCAGTGTATGAGACATCAAGATCAATGAAGTTCAGATTTTACTGGCAGAAAATTTACTTGCTATTTCCCTGAGATTAACTTGTGTCTCCTTTCGGTAGTGGTGGGATCTTTCCAGGTCTAACATGTTTGTGGTTTGGCATTTTGGACTCTATATTTTATGATTTTTTTGTTTTATTTAAGGATTTTATCTTGTAATATGATTTTATATGATTTTCATTCATATTTAACAAAACAAATTAAGTCAGGCACCCTAACTAATTGGCACCCAATGAGTTTACAAAGCCCTCCTCCACCTGAAAACTCCCAGCCCTAAAAGTTTAAAAGCCAAAACTAATAAAATTTAAATTTTGACTTTTCTTAAAAAAATTATAATAATCTTGGCCCCCTTCTGAGACTTCGTAGCTCCGTCCTTGCCTCCACCGATCTCGTCTCGTAGGGGTATGTGATGGTTTTCAGATATTGCAAGAATGGTGTGGATATGCTAACACCCCCTTTGATCCGTTTCATTTTCATCCACAAAATGCTGTTCAATTTGCGACGGTCAATAATTCCCATAGATTATAAAGGGACTGAGTTGCATTTATCTAGAAATATAGTAACTAAATTAAACTTTTATTAGTAGCTCCCTTGCCTCCATCAGGTGCAGTAAGCCAGCGGTGGCCAACACCAACGTTCATTTAAGTACTTGTCTTTTTGAAAGATGCGATTTAATCTTTTCTAGTAGTCTATTTAACAATAATTATTATTAGACCAGGCAAATTAAAAAATATAATTTTAAATTAATTCGTTTAACATGTCCCCTAGTTGTTAAGGCATGTTAATAACTTTGACCCAAAGATTGGGATACGTGTAAAGTTTGCTCAAATGCTAATTTGCAAGTGGCTAGGGGTGTGATTGTAAGACTCTTTTTAAATACAAGCACGAAGAGACTTTGCCAGTGCCCACTGGCTGTTCTTTTCAGAGTTCAAAACCCCAGCAAAACCACACTGCTAGTAGCGTATGATGGCAATCTCTGCCAAAAGATTATCCCATCTCATTTCCTTAAAGAGACCAATCAAACACTCTGGTGTCTCAAATTACTCAGCATCCTCCATTAATCAAATTGGTATGCCTATAAACATTCTTAAACCAGATATCTCTGATTCATCTCAAGTTCAAATTTTCTTGCCTACAACCTGTTTGCTAAAATGTATGGCACAAGACATTTACTAACCGATTCTTGCTTTTCTGTTCTTATGAAGAATATTCAAAATGGAACAATGGAGGTGGAACTTTCCACAAATCAGCTTGCATCGACCCAACAGTGTTAATTGAAATTGGCGCAGTAGTTCATTCAAAAGCTGTGCTGGGCCCTAATGTTTATGTGGGATCAGGAACTGTTGTAGGACCTGAAGTGACTATTGGTCACTCTACAAAGATAGGGTATAATTCTTTATGCAAAAAAGGGTCTTCGTGGAATTTTTATTATGCGATTAATATTATTGGTTTTTTTTCTTATAGCAATTCTATTTTTTTATCAGGTATAATGTTGGCCTCAGTAATTGTAGGATAGGGGATTCGTGTGTAGTTCACCATGGAGTATGCATTGGTCAAGATGGTAAGGCTTAGTTATTTTTAAATTTAGAGTCAAACATTACCTGCTTCTTTTTATTTACAACAATTTTATAACTTTTAAGTTCTTAGTACCTTACCTCTATACGTATTGTCGATAGTTATATATATCGAACTGATCTATGATTAATTACATGTGTTAGGAAGAGCAATGCGTTTGACCACTTAAAAATGCAGTCTTTTCTATGTTAACATTTTGACATTTTGTGCTAATTGATGCTTGCTACATGTTTATAAACTTCGACATTATCTCTGCTTCTACCCTGTGCACCTTATACACGGACCTGTGATTTGTTGGTGAAATATTGATCACTAAATCATATGTTTTTGACCTACAGGATTTGGGTTTTTCGTGGATGACAAAGGCAACATGATGAAGAAGCCTCAAGTTGGTGATATTTAATAGTTTTTGAGGACCATTTTAATTGATTTTGTTGTTTCTCTCTCTGATTTTGTTGTTTCTCTCTCTCTCCCCTCCTTTCTATATATGCACAAGAGTGCGCGCGCGCGCGCGCACCACCCCTGATCCCTGTGTATGGACTCTCACATTTTAGGCATACATCAATTATTTATATGTGCTTTGTGAATCTGGGCATTCTTTTATTGTGTATTACTTTAACATTTGAATTATGGAGCATCATAATCAGTGACAGTGAAAATTTATAATATCACTCCTAGCGGCTCACACTATGCCATTTACACTTTTTTTTATATGTCTTGTTCAGTTCTGGATCAGCAACTGAACTGTTCTATTTTATTTTTCAGCTGCTGAATTCTATCATAGGAGATCATGTGGAGATTGGGGCAAATACATGCATTGACAGGGGAAGGTGTGATGGCTGTTGGGACTAGATTTTTACTCATATTTATGTATGTTTAATAGTAAACGGGCTTGAATGTGGAACCTGTCCAAACTAGATGACTAAGTACACCACCCATTTGGTTATGTGCAGTTGGAGAGACACAGTTATTGGGGAACATTCAAAGTTAGATAATTTAGTCCAAGTGAGTTTTTCTTCTCTTCCATTTTGGCCAGATGGTATTCTCATTTAGTGGTATCTAATTGCCTTTCTACCTGGCTTTGCAGATTGGTCATAATGTGGTTATAGGAAAGGGTTGCATGCTTTGTGGACAGGTTGGGATTGCAGGCTCAGTGACGTAAGTTGCTTCTGAAGAATATGTATATGATGCTGTTTCTTTTGAAGTACTTCGAGTTTCCTTTTTATGCGTTTTAAATTCAGTACGTAGATGATTGGGTGGGTTTAGAAGGCATTGGTTGTTTACATCTTTGTCTTGCTTGTTCTTGTTTAGCATGGGAGACTACGTCACTTTAGGAGGAAGGGTTGCAGTTCGTGATCATGTATCTATTGCATCGAAGGTATTAAATCATGTATTTGGTCTTGAGAAACAGTGAGGTGATTCTTTCATTGGGTGATTGACACATTGACGCTTGTAGTCCATGAAAAAGCTGAATCATGCAAAGAATTGCTACTTTCTGTGTGTAGTTACTAGGGCAAGCTCCAAATTTCTTATGAGTCTCAAGCCTCCGATTTGCATTCAACTCTCTTCATCTGGGGCCTCCGAAATATTCTCAGACAGATCTTTTTTCTGCAAACTTGTATCTGTTTGTCACATAGTACTATCACGATCTCCATTAGACGATGCATAGATCATTAGATTGAATTGCATGTAATGGCTGAGATACAGGCCTGGCCTTGGATGAGCTACTGTAACTGATATAAATTTATGGTGTTTGTCGTGGCATATCTGATTTGGTTGAGTTGCAGGTCCGGCTTGCTGCTAATAGCTGTGTGACCAAAGACATTAGAGGGCCTGGGGATTATGGTGGCTTCCCTGCTGTAAGATTTATTCTTTTATTTCTTTTATCTCATCCTGATATGTGGCCAAATTTCTTGGTGTCAATTCATTCTTAATGACATCACAAATTCAAATTAATATGGAAATTATTTTCCCGGTCTTATCTGTAGGTTCCAATTCATGAATGGCGAAGACAAGTTGCTAGTCATTACCGGATTTCAAAGAAAGCTATTCTATAGAGCTGTTTGGAATTAAAATCAAATATACAGCTAAAATGGATAGGACTCTTCTCCCAAATGATTGTATTCTGAGAATAACGGTTTGTGAAAGGTTATTTGAGAACTTTTACAAGACTTGCAGCGTCTTGAGAATTTTAATCTGTGGTGCTCAAGAAAAAACAGTGATTCTGATTTTGGAATTTTTTTTTATTAATGTCCCACAAAACATTCCTCGTTAGGAGTCAGCTGAATTGAGGTTTTACAGTATTTGTTTTAGAAGAAAAGGATTGGAACGCTAGCTCGCAGCACTGTGGCAGCAGCATATTAAAGCAATCAAAGAAAGAACAAGAGGATGAATAGAGGAGGAAGAGAACTGTGGCACCAACCTACCAAGCCTCGATCCCTAATTGGGTGGGGTAAGCTATATGGATCCTTTTACGTCATTCCATGCAATTATACACCAAATCCATCTCAACATCAAAAGATTTTAAATACTTTGATGTCACTTCATCCACGATAATGGAGGTCACTTCCCTGTCTCTATCATTGTCAACTTCTAACTTATCCGAACTAGCCTCCGGTGTTCTACGTTGAGCATGGTCACACCATCTCGAGCACCCTCCGCTTATTTATCCATAACTATATATAAAAATATAAAATTTGTTGAAATATTTAATTTTATCAAAATATCCCTCTTTTTAACTTGTATTAGATTATACTGGTTACTGAGTAAAATATATTTAAAATTTTTAATTTACTGTGACGATGTGAATGGTATTTTCTTTTTGTTCTTTCTTTTTTCATATTTTTTGCTTTCTTAAATAGATTCTCTCTTTTCTTCGTCCATGTCATTAGTCCATTAAAGCTCAACCATTGCTGTCCCAGCGGCAATCAACATTATCGGTCTGAAAGTCAGGGTGTCCCTCCTGATCTGAGGGAATCCTTGTACTAGATATTTCTCTTCCTATAATAGAATAAACTACGTAGCTGGAGCCTTTTAAAGAAAGAAGAAAAATTCGATAACCCAGATTATAATCCTACCCTGAGCAATTAAAAAAGCTGATTTTATTTGAATCAGTGAAAAAAAAAAAGAAGCAACAATAACAAACAGATAAAACATAAAAAAAAAATTATCACGAAAACTCAGGATAAACCTTTAATCAAGAGTGAAAAAAAAAACTATATTGTTCAATTTTTAGATAATTAAACAGGAAATGATAAAATAAAATTTAAAAAAAAAACAATGTAAACCAACATAAACTAGCATGATAGATATGTAATTTAGAGATTAAAAGTGAGGAAGTCCAAGTTAACTTCTTAAACTCATGTTCTATGTCAGGAGGTCACCATAACATGATAGAAAAAGAATTGAAAAAAATACAAAGCTATTTTTTTATTCAAAAAGTTAAAAGAAGAAATTAGAAAAGAAAATAAGCTAAAAAAGATGATAACTCTTAATAACTTTTTAAGCTCCTGATCTAAATCATCAGGTCAAAAGTATCATGCATGGAAAACACGTAAAACTTAATCCTTAAAAAATAAAATGTTGACGGATAGAAAAAAAATCACTAAAAAAGATTCAAAATAAAAAAATAACAATTAAAAAAATACAGGTTAAAATCAAAATAAAAATAAATTAAAGAGAAACAATAAATTTCTAATTTGCTGGATTAAATGAAGAGTATAATAACATTAACAAAAGTATAAAAAAAAATTAAAAGAATCAGGACCAAATTGTAAAAAAATAATATATCATAAATTTGGATTGAATGATGAAATTAAAAAATAATAAAACTTCTATAAAAGGGTCAAGGGAAAAAGCTATAAATCAAAAAAATAAGGATCATATAATAATAATAATAATAATAATAATAATAATAATAATACATTAAGATTCAATGATGAAATTAAAAACAAGTATTTTTTATAAAAAGGACCAAGTATAAAAATTAGAAATTAAAAGAATAAAAACTAAAGTTAAAATGTTAAAAAAAAAGGGACCATTTAGTAATTTTTAGGGGGAGGGAGAAAAAAAAATGGCCCATAAGCGATAAATCACTTCACCTCTACCAACACATGTTGTGCCACTAAAAAAAGGATGTGGCCCACTAAAAAAAGGATGTGGCGACGCATCTAATAACACGATGAAATGATAATTTTAGCTAACGAGAGATGTTACACGCGCTATCCACAGTGTATTGGTAAATACACTGCACATGACAACATCTTTTTATATTAAAAAATAATTCATGAAACTAAAAAAATGAAAGCACCTTGATACTCTTGAAATTTATCACAAACTATATAAAAAGATAAAAATGCCTATCAACTAATAGCTTAATCTGTTTTTAGTCTTAAGGCAAAATTATGAATTTATTGTATTTTAAAAATAAAAAGATTAAAATACCCTTCTTGCCTTATTTTAAAAATTCTGATATAAAGTGTAAATAGGTTATTCAATTATAGTTAATAAAGGTGAAAATTTCACTCTCGCATAGATATTTAATGATTGATGTGATGTATAAAAAGATTGAAATACCATCAAGAAAAGATGTCATTCTACTATTGTTGTGAATAGTAAAATGAGCCTATCTACAAAATGTTTTTGCCTTTAACTTTAGCTTATATTAGCTATTTGACTTGCTTTTTTGCCTTTAACTTTAGTTTATATTAGCTATTTGACTTGCTTTCTTACGTCGATTAGATATTTTTTTATTCTATAAATTTTTTTGTACATATAGGCTTTTAAGTATAAATTAAAACATATATGTAATCAAATAAATCAAGAACTATATGTATTAATAAAAAGAAAAAAAAGTTATTAATGATAATTAAAAATAAAACTGGATAAATCAAGAGATATGTATAGATCAAGATATTTGATCTTACAAGACAAGATATTTACCCAGTTGTATTTAATGAATTTGTTTAAATTGATTTAATATTAAAAATACACACATATTAAATTGATTAAATAAAAAAAAATGAGGAAAGTATAATACAAGGCTGCATATATGAAAAATATTATCTAAATAAATTTCTTGTATACAAAAGATAAAAAGATTATAGATAATCTAAAATAATCTTTTCAAAATTTAAATATGCACAACACCATCAAAAAAACAATATGTATCCAAAAAATGCTAAATAAACAAAACAAAATCACATATGAGAGATATTAATTGAAACATAAATTTAAAAATTATTTTAAAATATATGTATATATTAAAAAAAGATATTAGTTAAATAAAGCAATATTAAAAAAAAAAACCTAGTATTGTGGCTTAACTCATCAAACATGTGATCTGAAATATGAACTCAACCGGATTTAATTTCCCTTAAATTTATATACAACCTAAAAAAAAGGCTAAAAAGATCCAATCTTGTAGGTCTATGGCCCAACAACCCTAACCACTGCAATGAAGAGCGCAGAAGTGTTGGTGAGTCTTCAAGTCTAGACCTGCAAGTTTCATCTTGGTTTTTTCTTCAAATTTTGTTAAAGAGGTCGAAGACATCTTTATTTTTTTAAAAAAAATAAAAAATAAACAACATGTCATCTACAAACCATATTTTAGCCACCAATCAAGGCAGTAACTCTTTTGACAAAAAAAAACAAATTTTTAAGCTATTTCAACCCAAAACACATTATCATCACCTTTTAAGCACCCATAAATCATTCTATCAACTCCAAAATACTAAAAATATAGCTCAAATATTTAAAATCAAACTAGGTTAGTTTTGGCTTTGTTAACTTCAATTTAGTTTTTCATATAATATTGAAACTTCAAATAATCACCGTATAGCTCTTCTCATCTTTAAGAATCCATGGACACCAATAAATTCATTTTGGTGGTTGGAAATATGGTTAGCGGTGACTTTTTCTTTGTATTATTGAAATTTAGCAATTTTTTCCCTCTTCTTTACCTAATCAACAATTAAAAAATATCATAAATAAATATTCGTATCAAAAGTTTTTTTTTTTTTTAAATAAAGGAACCTAAATTATTTTAATCGTGTCATTTTAAAAGCATCTAAGCATACTTTTCATGTAATCTCTGGTATGCCTCCTTGTATAGCACCTTTTTAAACCTTTTTAATTTTGGTTTGTTTTTTTTAATTTTATCATTGACTAAAAAATTATAAGTAATTTGTTTTTAATTAGGATAAAATCACATAAAATAAAAAATTTAAAAATAAAATGAATTATTAGAATATTAACAATAAATCCATAATATTACGTGAGTCCGTGAATAGTATCCACCTACATTAAAATCACCCCGCATCTTTTAGTATGTATTTGTTTATATAGTATGGAATTTGTCGGATAAAAAAATAAGATATAATTACGGTACCGTGGCAATTATCATATAGTTGGCAAAACCAAAAATACTAGTGATTGTTGGTTTTATTTTTTAATTGATATTAAATTGAAATTGAATTTCATTAAATATAAAAACCTTAATAATATATATATATATATATATATATATAAATTTTAAAAAATAAACATGTGAATTGGATAACCTGGATTAGCATATCAAATCACAAATGAACTCCACTAAAATTAATAACTTATTTCTTTCTAAATTATTTTTTATTTAATAATATAAATAAATAATAAAAAAATCAAGTATTAAACCAATATTAAAATTTTTTTAAGGTTATAATAATCTTATAAAAAATAAAATAAAATAAATTATAAAATTTAATTTTTAATTAATTCAATATAAAATTAAAAAAAAAAAAAAACTCATCAAACCTTCAACAAAACTTTCTAAAAATTAATAATATATTATTTTAGATTATTTTTAATTATATAATAAAATAAAAATAAAAAATCATATGATTAAATTCAATTAAAAAAAAACCTACTCGACAGTAAAAGTGTCATTCCTCGCCCTGAGCTTGCAACAGCCGATTAGGAGTGCTTGCTTTCTCTTAAAAGCTGGAAAGTCTTTCCTTTTGTTTTTTTTCCTGCGCAATAAGCTAGCTTTATCTGTCTTGTCCCATCAAAGTTGTAAATTGTGTCATTGATTTTAAAAAAAAAAAAATTTTTTTAAATAATTTTTTTTTTAATTAACTTTTTTTAAATATAAATTATATTATAACACTGAAACAATTTTTTGATATATTTTTTTATTTATTGTAATAACTTGTAAAGGATAAATTAAAATATATTTTTAACTCTAAATCTTTTTAAACACATTATATATTATATAAAGACTAAATTAAAAAAATCAATAACTAGAGGAAGAAAAAAGGGTTAAAATGCAAAATAAAATAAAATTTCAGATTAATATTTGTAATCTACAATGTTAATAAATATACAAAATCAATGTTTTCCATACCTTTTAGTTTTATTCTTGATTAGCTAGTATTATCTATTTATAAAAATAAAAAATAATCCATCTACTACCCCGTTACATATGGTTTTTAAAGGGATGATGAGGTTAGATTAATGATATATTTAGAAATATGGTGTAAATAGTGTTTTAAAAAAATAAAAAAATAAAATAATTTTTTTATATTTTTAAATCATTTTGATATATTAATATTAAAAATAATTTTTTAAAATAAAAAAATAATTTTAATATATTTCTACATAAAAAATACTTTAAATCATTATCATTATTTCAATTTTAAAATCCTTGTATTATAATCCAAGATTTAATTTTCAACTAAATTCTTATATTATAATCCAAGGATTGTTTCTATTTTATTTTTTAAAAGACTATTGTTAAATCTTATTAAAAAAATATAAATTATATTTTAATTTTTTATTTAAAAAGTTAAAATTTTTATTTGATAACTTTCTTTAATATAATATTAAAATCTTGTTGATTAAATAATCATAGCTTTAAATTTTATTATTTTTATAATAGAGAAGAATATAAATTTTATTTAAAAATTTAAAATTTTGAATTAATATGGTTATTTATGCTTTTTAAGAAATAAAATCTCATGAAAGGGCAAGAAGATTTAATGAAAAATATGTAAGACATTACAAGATTACGGAACACAATCACAATCTTAATTGAAAAGATCGTTTTGGTACGTTCATAAGTGTGTGGGTATTAAAGTTAACTTTCCATGCATATTATATGATAAATAAGTATTATCTATTTTAATACTTCAAAAAGTTAAAATAGAATTAGTAGTGACTTTGTATATGAGATTGGGAAGAAAATTATTTTTTAAAATAGTTTTTTAATTTGAAAATATATTAAAATATTTTTTATATTAATATATTAAAATTATTTAAAAAACTAAAAAAATCAAATTAATATCTTTTCAAACTATAAATATTTTTGAAAAGTACTAAAATTGCGTGTTAGAAAATATAATAGATTTTGTTTTTTTTTAATCTTTTTCATTTGAAAATATTTTAAAATAATATTTTTTTATTTTTTAAAATTTATTTTTAATATTAAAAAGAAGTCTAAAACATTAAAAAACCTGATTAAGAAACTAAAACAAAATCAAAAAGGTTTTAAAAATATAATTTAAGTTTTAAAAATATAATTTAACGGCAATATATCAAAAAGGTTTTAAAAATATAATTTAACGGCAATGTGTATATAAACAACGGTTCTGTTTCAAAATGGGAGCCAACTTTCAAGTTCATAAACCAAACAAAAGCAAAGAGAAGCTTGCATTTCTCTCTTTATATCTCTCCCTCTGTCTTCGCTTCTGTACTTTTGTTCTTCTACATGGTGAAGTGAACTGGCCACTCCCACTTCCTCTAGACTATCTTTTTGGTTCCCAATGCCAAAGCACACAACGCAAAAAATATTTCTTTGATTGATTTTTTGCCGCCACCATTAAAATCCTCTGCTCTCACTTACCCTCCATTATTCTCTCTCCCTCTCTATGCAACTCTCAGGCTCTTATTGACTCATAAATAATCACCATGTACCACCAGATCACCAAGCTTAAACAGAATTGTTTTGTCTATGTTAAACAGTTGCAAAAAATAAAAAGATCTATCTTTGCCTCTCTCTTTTGCTTACCAACTTCACTCCTTGCTCTTATGTTCTTTCTTCTACTTTCGTACAATGGTTTCGCTGTTTTCTACGTTCACCTTCCCTTTCCCTCTAAACCTCAGCCAGAACCCGCCAATTTCTCGAAGGCCAATCTTGCTAGAAATTCACTTAAAAAGCTCCCATCTTCAGTGATGTATGCAGTTAAAGAAGACACACCATCAGTTATTTTAAAGACCCTTTTGCCTCTCTTGCAAAATCCAGCCATTTCAATGACACCAATTAATCATTCTGTGGTTTTGAAGCCAAAGAAGGCTCATGGATACAAAACTGTGAAGAGAATGCTGAGTTCTGGAGACAATTCAAAACAGTTTTCGACAAGAATAAGAGACTTCCTAGGGAATCGTGGTTGTAAGGTTAGGTTCTTTATGACATGGATTTCTTCTTTGAAGCCATTTGGTGATAGAGAGTCGTTTGCTATTGAGAGCTTGTTCAAGTCCCATCCATATGCTTGTTTGGTTATTGTTTCCAATTCCATGGATGCTGAAAGTGGGAGTCTTGTTTTAAAGCCATTTCTTGACAAAGGGTTTAAATTGATTGCAATTAAGCCTGATTTTGATTATATATTCAAGGATACTCATGCTGAGAAATGGTTTAAAGGGTTAAAGAAAGGGAACGTTAGCCCTGGAGAAGTTTCTTTGGGTCAAAATATGTCTAATTTGCTTAGGCTTGCTTTGTTGTATAAGTTTGGTGGGATTTATATGGACACTGATGTGATAGTGTTGAAGAGACTTACCAAATTGAGAAATGCTATAGGGGCACAAAGTATTGATCTTGAAAATGGGAATTGGAGCAGATTGAATAATGCTGTGTTGATTTTTGACAAGAAGCATCCTTTACTCTTCAAATTCATTGAAGAATTTGCACTCACATTCGATGGAAACAAGTGGGGTCATAACGGTCCTTATCTGGTTTCAAGAGTTGTTTCAAGAGTCAGCAGAACGCCTGGGTTTAACTTCACTGTATTGCCTCCATCTGCATTTTATCCGGTGAATTGGAGTCGAATTAAAAGTCTCTTTAAGGGGCCTGAAGGTAAGGCCCATTCAACATGGCTGCGTAAAAAACTTGAGCAGATTAAAATTGAAAGTTTTGCAATTCACTTATGGAACAGGCAGAGCAGAAAGATCAAGGCCGAAAGTGGAAGCATTATCAATCATATAATGTTGGATTGTTGTGTTTTCTGCAATTCTTCGCGCTCAAGTTTGTAAATTACTATAGGAAAATTGATGATTATGTAAGTGTTGAAGATTGCTTCGCTATCTGTGGTTATGGACTTGCTCAATCCTTTCCACCGTTACAATGTTGATGAAGGTTGAAGAAAGAAACAAAAGGAAAATCCTTTTCTTTCATATATCCCACCCTTTGTTTTTGTTTGCTAATATTTGTATCATGTGTATCTTCTTGCAAGGTATGAATACTCGCAGAATTGAATATAATAAGAACCTTCTGTGTCCCCTGCGGGTTTTAGCCATCTTGCATTTATATAATAAGGAGCAGAAATGGCTCGTTGGTGTTATAGTCTTCTCTTATGAATAGTTTATTGGTTAATCATGGACCAATTCAATTATTCCACTGTTTCTTGAAAAATAAATTATTCTCTGAGAGTTAATGACCCTTTGATTCTCTTGTAATTTATTGCATGTTCTTGGACAGCATAAAGAAATATAACACAATTTGAGCACTAAATGTCCATGCAATCCTTTTTAAATATGAAGCAAGGCCAGTTCATTCAATTCCTGAAAGTAAACTCTATGATTTGTCATCACAAGTAATGAATATGTAATCAAGCTGAAGGTCATGCCTCTTGAAATAAGCTGTGAGGGTGACTTTTCAGCTTCCGGGCACCTACTTTATGGCCCCGCATGAATCTCCTATTTATTTTTGATTGATTTCTTATCACCATATGATCTAGTCTTGCACCTGCAGGTTGTAAAATTAGAGATTTACAGCATTAATTTCCTTTCAGTAGTCTCTGGATAGAGCAATCTTACCCACTCCCTAATGTTTAATTCTCTATGCTTCGCCAGAATATAATTAGGTGACACCAACTTTAGTTTTCCTCTGTATTTTACATCTACGGGGTTCATGCATGATTGACAATCAAGTTCATGTAAATTTGATGGGTTCTGCACATGAGACTTCGGTGATCTATCTGTCAAATAAGAGCTGGTTAGCTGATACACAAACTGCTTGCTGATTTGTTACCGTGTGAGACTTGAACTTCTTTGTAGGGAGTAAAAGCGGAGAGCTAAGCTATTGCCGAAGTCTTTTTATTGGTAATTAAGGATTAGAATTGTCAGTTGAAATTTTACCAATACGGTTTTTTCACGATGATGGTTATTTTTTGATAAAGGTGTTCGGTTAATGTGATTTAAAATGTTTTTTTATTTTAAAAGATATTTAAAAAAATTATTTTTAATATTAATATATTAAAATATCTGAAAATATAAAAAAATAATTTAAAAGAAAAGAAAAATCTCTAGATGAGAATAGTTTGCAAATGACCATGTGAATGTTGGCATGGAACCCGTTGTCAATATGATGTGATCGTGTGTACTCCGCCCACATGGCTATGCTTCCCTCGACATGCTTTGGTCCACGTTGTGCCCCCATATACTTTATATTATTTTTTGTTTTTACCTTTAACATTAAATTAAGAATTATTCATTAAGAACAAAAAAAAAAGGTTTCGGGAAATATTACTCACCATCACCCATTTTATTATTATAGAATACAATCAGTTTGGTGGTTCGCGTGATATCTCATTAAATTAAAATTTTTTTCTATTTTATTCATCACCATTGAATTTATTGGAAATTGAGTTTCATGATTTTTTTATTTGTCTTTTATAATATAATTTCTGTTTCATGACCTTAGTCATGAGTTTGGAAAATTAGCCTAAGTTAACTTTGATCTATTTTTAGATCCTTAATTAAAATTCATTTTTTTTTCAATTTCATCATTTAATATTAGATTGATTAAGGATTGAGCTTTATGATTTTTTTTTTATTTTGTATGAAGTTATCTCAATCTTATGATTTAGGTTGCGGGTTTAAAAAGTTAACCTGAGTTGATTTAAGTTTTTTTTTTAAATTGAATATTTATTTTAGAATCTAGTATTTAATACTTATAATCAGAAGGCTCTGATACCAAGAAAAACTATGAGGATCAATAAGTATTAAGGCTAAAGAGTATTTGCAACAAGTATTAAAAAGTAAAGAAGATAAAAGTAAAGAAAAAAAAGAAAGATTTAACTTATATAAAAGACTTTATAATTATTAATTTAAACGTTGAAGACCTCTCAAAGAACTATTTAGTAGTTATAAAAGAAAAGAATTCTAGAAATTCTTCAATGCCTTATTTCAAACTAGAGAAGTTCTTATAAAGGCTGTGAAATTAAAACAATATTCAAATTAGTTAATTGAAAGATAAGGCTTAAACAAATAGCTAAAATACCTATAAAAAA